GGATTACTTCCTCCTTTTTATTCATTCCCATTCCCCCCTTCACGGCGCATGTGCCTTTCATGTTTTCGCCCACGCAACCGCGAAAGTGTCACAACGACCGCGGGGGGACCATCGACTTGTCTCTTTACGGCGCACTCTATATTCATGGGGGCACCGAGATTAAATGAAACGCTATGGCCCTCCTCCCATCTCCAGCTCTCCACGTGTTCTTTTTTTCGGCCTTCGCTCTCCAAACACGATCCATTTTGCCAAAGTATTCCCCGCTGTTTGTGTGCCGGGGTACTCTGAGGTCTTGTTTCAGCCGACATTTCGGAATACAATATTTCTCCTCCTCCCCGTCACGAGCCGCCCGCTCGTAATCATATCGTAATGAGGGCACTTCTGACCGTCCGAGTGACATTTCTCATAATCGTGCAGCGATATGCTTGGCGCGCAGTCACGGGGAATGGCCCTAACGAGGGTTTCGCATTTTTGACCCATAACCCCCCTTGGGATAAATGGACGCATCATGATTGGGGCGTGATGGGAGCACCACCACGCGGGGGGCGGGGAGGGCGAACGTTTGAAACTCTTGGAGGAAAAATAGTTGAGGGAACGTTTGCAACACTTGGACGACAAATAGTTGAGGTGACGTACTCTATGCGCAAGGCAACAACGCGCAATGGCAAACCATTCCTGAAGACAGCTGTGTTTGAGATTAACGCAGGAATTCTTATAAATCCCTTCAGAAAGTGTTTGTGACGAAAGGGCAAGTTACCATTGTTAACACCAGAATATCAAGTGCGCGAAAATGGCCAAGGACTACTCAAGATTATACTTGTCATGTTTTCTTACTAAAGGTCGTTGCCAAGAATAATTCGACGCATTTCTTGGATTACAAGAGAGCACTAGGGTTGCTTATAGGTATAGATCAAATAGAGATCAATAATGGATCAACATAGAACCAACCTATTCACGACAAAGAAAATCCTACCAGGACATTACGCTAGATTAGAGAGAATTGTGCAAGCGATTATTGAGGGTTTACCGAATTTGTTTTACACCTGATTACCTCAGTTTAGACTACGCTCGCTTTGCAGACTTTATTGCGGGGCCCAAGTCGCCCAAGGCCCTCGATCGCCCACATTGTTGGTCGCCCCGGGGCAGCATGGACCGCCCCTGCACGAGCAGTATGTCATCCCATCGGCAATAACTTAGGTAAGCCGTGGCCCCGGGGCTGCGCGGCTACCCCTATGCAGTGGCGGAGCCAGAGGGAGAGTGAGAGAGAGAGCAACGAGATACGCCGAGAGCGCTGTTCAGTACAAGAGGCACAATCCCGACGGGGCGGATCCAGCTCGGCGGAATAAAGGAACAGGAGAAGCAGACGCGCGATTTATTGCTGCCCAACGAGAATCACTCGTTCAACGGCCGCTGCCACAGCCAGCCAGCCTCATAGGCAGCGTGGCGGAAGAACCAGCCTCCGCCTGACCACTGGTCTTCTTCCGGCCGATCAGCAGATCATGCAGGTCATCGCATCACCATACCCATAATATGTAGGTTAATCGCACGCGGGCTGACACTGCGCCGGCTGCACTTGTCTGCCCGCAAACGCGCCAATTTGTCACCCAAGAAGAGCGACGGTCCAAAAGATCGGCCAGTTCATCCGACGCTGAAAAATTAGGGACAGAGGACGAAGGGGAGAGAGAGCAAGAGACGAGAATCGAGAGAGGAAGACAGACGGTGCATTCTTCATTCGAAGGAAACAAATTCGGTCGGCGGCGTGTCCACCCATGATAACATCAGATCCCTGTCGGATCGGAATTGAGTCGCTCCCTCAAAGCAACGCAAAGTGGGACCTTGCGCACCTGTGATCACGATGAAAAACTAGTGTACAAAGTAAACTAGAAACCGGGAAGATATCGACAAGCGCACGAAAAACACGCAGTTTTAATCAATACCTGTAAAGCCAAAAGAACACATTGCTTGTTTTTTTTTTCTTTGAGGGCAAGGTGAGGATAAAAGACGTTTGGTTTTAACGAACACTCGGTAGGCGGGGGCGGGGAGGAAGTTCTGTACTCCTTGAGAGGGGAGCCTTTTCGCACCTCGGCTCTTGACGCCCCGTATTTCACGGTGCGTTTGAGCGGGTCAGCCCTGCGCGACCCCCAGCCCGGCCTCCGCCCGCTTGCTGAGGTGTAGCCCCGCGTCCGTTGAGTCCGTGGTTTGATGGGGAAGGGGGCCGGGAGCGATGGGAAAGGGGAGGTGCAGCTCCGGTGCAGGTTAATTGAAACGCTCCTTACCCGTGTTATTACGTCCACATTTCGCGCGTTACATCTAATGAGATATTTTCCTTGGCCGGCCCCGGTGGGCCCCTTGACCCGCGTGGGTGGTGCGTGCAGGCGGGCATCACCCTCCGACATAAGGTATTCGTGGAAGGCGTGCGCGTCGCGCCAGCCGCTTCGCGTGTCTCGCCGGCGGGCCTTTCTTGTCCCAGGGAAGAGGATCCAAATCGCGCCCCAATTCAGCGGCAATAATTTCGCGAGGCGTCCGAGTCTGCGGACGAATTACAATCGGCCTGGGACTCGGGAAGAATCGACTGGCAAAAAAAAAACTGTATTAGTCGCCACTCAAGGGGCGGCAGGCCCGCGGTGCAGCCATAAAGAATCAGGCCAAAGGAGTCGTGGGAGTGAATAAATTTGGCCAAATTCGACTGAGGGCCGGCGGGCTCCGCACGACTCTGCCGGTCCGCCGGATGTCCTGCAGCGACGGTGGGGCGGCGGCAAACACCGACGGGAACACGGCAAACCCTTAAACATTCCGCCAAAGAAGGAGCGGCAGAAAGAGGTCATTTCCATGATGATTCGATCAAGCCGCCGCGATTCGGAAAAAATATTTTAACACAAACACGAATCCAGAAATCAAGATGATGTCGCGATAATGATGTGTGTGCCCTCCCAGGTGATGTTAGGTAGAGAACAAAACACCTCGTCATTTGTGACCTCTGCTGGGCAACCCGACGCGTGATATGACCCGCGCGCACACGGTCACCCTCATCACCATAAAGAGGCGGATAAAGTGACGTTGAGGGCGGGAAACACACATCTCTCGGCCCAATCGGGCGACACGAGGGTGGAAGGTCGGTAAGGGACCCACCGGACCGACCGCACACGAAGACGCCTAAGGATTTGGACGCCATCTCTGGGGACCGGGATTGGGAGGCATGAGGAGGGGGAGGCGACATGAGTCAAAATGTCGCCCTGATTAAGCACAGAGGCGGCATTTCCGATGCCTCGCGACAAAAGTGCCGACGATGACTGTTTCGTTCACCACCGGCAGAACGCAAAGGCGCGCTCACTCTCACCATATACTACACTCCACGCTTCCCCGAGGTGGTCGTGATGCATCCTCGCAAACCCGAAGCCTCCGGAGCTTGCCGGAGGCCCGAGGGCCGCGGCGCGACGGGCTTCTCATACAGAAACACACATCATGCAGAGTATCGCACACTCTTATGCACGGCCGATCACCTCCTAATGGCTGCTCCAGTAACAAAGGCGCAGTTTCTGAAACGCATTGAATGATATGTTTACTGAGCGACCGCTCCTCGCGCAGGTAGAATAGCGCGACCGCGAGTTTGTGCGGGGTGCGGTCTTGGAGCAAAAGCAGGGGGGGGGGGCGCTCTAGGAACAGGAAAGGGTTGAGAGAGCCTTCAACGCACTAATTGAGCCACCACAAGCCAAACCTGAAAAGACAAAGGCACCAGGAAGCACGCGCTTTCCTCTCTTTTTTTGTTGCTTTCCGTTTTATTGTATCAAGGAAGTTTCAGATGGACCTCAAACCGACCACGGAGTATACGTCTACTGGTTTTGCACCGAGACATTTTTATCACTGATTCTAATAGGAAAGATTTCGTGCCGATAAGAGATGTATTTCTGCACTGCTTCAACCCCTTTCCTACGTGAAAAAGAGTTAAAACACAGTTACACCCCCATGCTGGTGTGTACGCCGTGGCCGCACGGACCCTGCGGGCTAACGTCCACCAAGCACAAGCGTATCACTGGGATCGCACAGCGGGCAAGCGCACTCTCGCTCACACAGTGTGAAGAAGGGAGGAAAGGGGTTAGAGTTGAGCGGGCGACTCAAGTGGATCGATAGAGTCGTGCAGCGATTGTCTCCAACTATTCGGGAGGTGAATAAAACATTTCGGTTGAAACTGTGCCGCGTCA